CAACACCAATGTGTAGAGAGGATTAAAATGAGCTGGAACCATAGATGAGCACAGAGTCAGCAAATGTTTTCCATAAAAGGCTTGAAAGTAAATTATTTTCAGCTTTGTGGGCCATATCGTCTCTGGCCCAAGTCTTCACTTCAATTCTGTGGTTGTAGGTGAAAGCAGCCACAGAAAATATGTAAATGAATGGGTGTGGCCAGACTTGACCCAAACTTGGATATTGTAGTCCAGGGGTTGGTGGGCAGAAGTTTACCAACCCTTGGACTACAATATCCAAGTTTGAAAGGACCTAGCCTCTCATTTTATAGAAAACTAAAGTTAATTGGCTTGGTCCAGGTTACACATAGGTCAGTGGCAGCAGAACCAGGAATAGAGCATAGGCCTCCTAACTTCTTGTTCAGTGCTTAAGTCCTACCATTCAAAAATTAATTTTTGAGGGTGAACAATGTATAATGAACAGCTCCTCCTCCTTACTCATTGTCACAGACCTCAGAAGAGCAGATTTTGTGTCTGTGTGTGTGTCTGTGTTTGGATTGTGTGTGTGTTTGTGTGTGTGTGTGTGTGTGTGTGTGTGTGTGTGGTGTATGGTGTAATACTTAAGTTATTACAACACTTTTTAAGTCTGTTATGATGTGTGGAATGTAGTGTGGTCTGTGTGTATTGTGTGTGAGTATGTGTGTGGTGTGTGGGGATTGTGTGGTGTGTGTGCTGGGGGGTATGTCGACGGCCATGGGGAAGGATCATTATCCCCTGTGGGTCTGCGAGGGACTGTGTGCTATGACATCACACTCACCAGCTTCCATGGATCAGAGGAGACAGAATGTAGAATGCCAAATCCATGCCTCCCTCCTCCTGATGTCTTCCATGCACGAATGGATACGTCGTAGACCGAAGCCTTGTCCTTGCTGTAAGCAGTCACACTGAAAGGGATAACAAGTGAAAAGAAGGTGCCAGATCCTCTCTCTCTCCCATTTTTTTGGTAATCAACCTAATTTTTGGTGGCCTTGTTTTGACAAGACTTAAAAGAAAAAGAAGATGCCAGGCAAGTGCATGATGGGAAAGAGAAAGCCTGGCCCCCTTCCCAGAGCCCCCGATTCTCTAGAAGGCCAAGCTTCTGAAACTGTGACCGCCATGGTTACTCTACGGCTAAGCTCCCCAATATGGTAGCCACAAGCTATGTGTGGCTACTGAGCACTTGAAATGTGTCTATGGCTGAAGAACTGAGTTTTAAATAGATTTATTTTTGGTTCATTTAAATTTAAAAACTAATATGTGAATTATTAGAAAACTTTTCCAGTCTGTTGGCAACAGCCTGTGCATGTAAATCTACTACTTTTCAACTGGATAGTTTAAGAAATCTAAATACGGATAGAATATTTCCGCTGAAGACTCAGGATTTGAATAGAGATTTAAAATACACACAGGTGGTGATGGTTTTGCAAGCATGTACATACATCCAAACATCAAATTTCAAACATTAAATATGTGCATTTTTTTGTGTATAATTTTTCCTCAATAAAGCTGTTAAAAGAGAAAATAAAATACACATCTCAAAACTTTAATGCAAAACAAAAGAACTGATAATATCTCATTTATAAATACGTATATCAATTTGCATAATATTGACAATATTTTAAAGATTGTGTTAAATATATGATTAAAATTAATTTCACTTGTTTCTGCTTACTTTTTGCAGTATGGCTACTAGAAACATGACCATGTGGCTCATGTTATCTTACCTTGGGGCAGAGCTGTTGTAAAGATGCGCCCCACACCCTCAGGGACGCCCTGACTTAGCCTCTCTTTTTCCCTCTCAGTGCCTACGGCTCCTGCTGAGGCAGCACTTCTACCTGGTCGCTGACTGTTTCCTGAAACTGTCCCCTGCCCCCTGATGAGACTCCAGCATTTTCAGTGGAGCCCGGTGTTCAACAGGGACATGCTGAGGATCCAGTAAAATGATTCTGGACTGGGAATCTGAAAACGGGGACTTGGGCCCTGACCTGACCATCAACACTTGACCTTAAGCAAGCCACCTCACTGCCCTGGACTTCAGATTCCTCACCTATGAAGTGAGAAGAATAGGATTCCTTGCCCTCCTATGGGGCTATTTTAAAAATAAGAACAAATACCCCAGGAAATCTTGAAAAAGTAGGAGTGCTATTCTATCTAACATGAAATAGTTTGTATTCACAAAGTGGGGAATTGTGCCCATTCAGCCCTCCTCTCCCTCTCCTTCTCTCCAGTGAGTGAATGCTAAGTGCCAAATGCCTGCTTGGGGCCAGCGCTGCGCTAGGCTTACTTGCACATCTTTCTTCCCTGGCTCGTTCCACCCCCTTTCTTGCCAGGGGAACCCTGGTTGTCTAAGTGGCTCATGCCTTCTCACCTGCAGTTCACAAATATGCCCTTGGGGCCAACAGTAGTTTACCCAGTTTCACCCTCATCATGAACCCTGTGTGAAGCCCTGAAAAAGAAGGCAGCTCACACACTGCGTCCCAGGCCCACTGTTACCCCCGCCCCCACCCCCATGATGAAATGTACACAGAGACCCTCAAAATTGGTGTTAAAAGCACATAAACCTCTTGGGTTGTTGAGATTCGGGCCCAAGCAGGGTGTGTGTGTAATATCACTAAAAGCAGGTATGATGGATAAAAATGAATGATGGTCCCTTCCCAACATAAACCGAGCTGCTCATCCCTCAGGGTTGTTTATAAATAGAGGGGAGTCCATTTGTTTCGGGATCCCGGGGACAGGCCGGCACTCCATTTAGATAACAACCACCTTTCATACCCAGCCATCACTCTCCAGCTCGCAAGGTGGCGATTAATCAAACAGTGTTTTGGTTTCTCCCGATACACATCTAGTCCTTCCGGTTTAGAATGAGCTGAAGATGCTTCAACGGTTTACAGAACAGCTGGGCCAGTGCATTAGAGGCCGTGAGGATGAGGGCCCTCTGAGGGCCCTGCCAGTGGGAATTCTGAGTTGGGAGCAACTGCACGGATGGGGATTCCAGAAGTTTACTCCAGTGGAGGCCTGGCCTTCTGGGCATCACTGACATGTGACATTCAGTCTGAGAGAGTGAATAACACCTGTCATTCAGATGGAGACACCTGGAGTGGAGGGAACACCGAAATTGGACTAATTGAAAGGCATTTATTTTCTGAGAAGGCCATCTGCTGTGTGAAGATGGGTGCCTATGAACCATTAGAAGCCCATGTTCTAAGTGCTGTTGCAGAATTAAGCAGAGGGAACCCTGGGAAGTGAGATGAGGGGGGTGAATCAGAATGGGGTGGGGGGAGTTTGAATTGAGTCTGAGGAGGAGTAGGAATTACAGTGTGGAGGAGGAGAAAAGGGCTTCTCTATCACGAGGACTGCATGCATGCTGGGCCAAGAGGTTAAAAAGAGAATTATAAGGTTAACAGTTGATAGACCTTGGGGTGAATCAGAACTGATTCAAATCCCCCTTCTTGCACTTGGTGGAGAAATGACATAACCTGTCTGCACTCGTTTCCTCATTTACAGACTGGGGATTACTCTTTAGACTGAAGAAAACTCCCATCACAATGTCTGATGCTTAATAAGACATCACAGAAATAAAATTTTAAATTAGTTGATTCAAATTGCCCAGTATAGGGTTTTTGAAGTTTTTATTTTGCCAGTTCTATTCCAACAGGTCCAAACAATTTCTGGAGTTTTGATCTAAGAAATAAAAGAAGAAATTTTGGGAGTGGGAAAGCAGCAAGAAAGGTTAATTTTCCTTGGTCTCACTTGAGTCACAGCTGCATAGCCTGACTTATAGGATTTTCTCATCCATATTTGCAATTCAGAAATTCTCTGCAGCAGGCCATGCATTTGATTCTGGGGCCAATCTGGGAATACTGTCCTGGGATATGGACCGGCAGCTGAGGTAGATTTTTAGGTCACATTCCCTTTTACATTCACTGGGGTGGACAGGGAATGGAAAGAAAAGAAAATGGAAATAAAATATTTTCTTTTAATTCAAATTTTAAAGTCTGTACCATGAGAATAGAGCATGTAACAGCTGGTCCCTTCCTTCAAAGTGCTTACAACATATTTGAAAGGATCAGACTCAAACATATGAATCTGTGAGTTGAAATCATAGGGTACAGTTGAGTCAGGAAGGAAGATACAGACCCTAGGGGCAGGGCGACGGGAGGTGAGAAGGCCTCTACTGTGGCTGGCGTGGTCAGAGGAGCCCCCAGCCTGCCTTGCCAAGTCTGACTCTGCTGGGGCAGATGGAGTCTCTATACAATCATCTACTTTTTCTTTTCAGCTGTTCATTCCAAGACTGCAACTTTCTGACAGGCAGCGCCAGCCAGCCCCTAGAGCCATTAGGCCAGGTCCATCAAAGGGCCTGCCCCATATGCTTTGAGGATTAACATCGGTCTTAGTTAACAATCTAATTAATGTTTGGATAATTTAACAATTTTGTATGCTTTCTAGAGTGCTTTCTAGGGGAGTGACCCTGGCAAGTAATGCCATGTTTTTTTTCTTCTTACAGAGATGCCTTTTCTGATCCCATTAATGAGAAACATCCTTCCTATCTGGGCTGGGCCATGTGAGTAAGAGCTAGCTTTTCTACTTTTGGGATGGGGTGAGGGGGTCCCCCAACAGTGTGGCCAGTGTAGGATGGGGCAGAGGAGTGGCCATCTTCTCAGCCCCCAGTCACCCCAGTTTCAGGACCAGCCTCCGTTCGGGATCTGGCTGTATCCACCAGATGGTGTGGCCCTGCCAAAGATGCCCTGCAGCCAGCTGTGCGGCATGGACCAGGCTCTCCCTTTCTCTGCGACTCCATTTCTCCTTATTTTAAAATCCTTATCTTACCTGCCTCACTGGGTGATAAGCCAAGCCCTCTGGCAGCAGTGTGGGTGTCATTGGGGCAGTTTAAGTGAGATCCAGGTCAAAGATCCCGTGTACCCTGAACATAAGAAGTGTGATGAGGTGCCCTCCAGGGGAAGGCATGGCTACCTATCTCCTTCCAAATCAAGGCCTCGGGGAGTGGTGGTGAGGGGTGCAGGCCCCCTAATTCCTGCTCCATCACTGCCTTGCCGTGTGCCCATGGGTGTAAGTTAACTGGCCTCCCTAAGCCTCTTCATCTATCAGTGGGTACAATAACAGCATCATCTTCATCCTTCATAAAACCACCATGAAAATGAAATGACATAATGCACAGGCAATCCTCACTTTGCAGAGTTCAAATAAGCATGAATTTCAGTTGTCACAGTTTAGTTTAATGATACTAGTCCCCAACTACATGGTTGGAATTTCGGTCACTATGTGTATTAACGGAGTAGTTGTGTAAAGCACAAACCTCTCTGCTAGCTTGCCAATCCCCAATCTCTATGTAAACGACAGAGGCACGTCCTGATCAGTGATGGATTATGTCACTTTTTTCAAAGCCTGTGTTACTCAGTTCACCCCCAGACAGCAAAGTGTGTAGCTGTTTATTTGTTTCTCAGTGATAAACCCATGTGCGAATCATAAAGAGGGATTTGGCCAAGAAAGATGAAAGGGCAGCAAAGAAACAAAAATGGTGAGGCTGGAGGCAAAATTCAAACCCAACATAAATGGAGTTGGAAAAGAAATAGCTGCCCATGGCAACAGTGACAATGCCACTCTTATAGAGGTCTTAGTGAGGGCAAACTTGGTGACATATATGGGGAGACTGGTTGTGACCAAGAGGATGGAGAGGTCCCAGAGGAAGTGCTGCCAGCAAAATCTTCACCTGTAAGGCACTTGAGAGTTGAAAGTGCAAATGACAAAGTGTTGGAAGCTGACCCAAACTTAAAAAGGACATGGCAATATATCAAAAGTAGAAAAGATGCTTTCTCCGTATCATATGCTTTATGAGAAGGTGAGAACTATTCAAACTTCTCTTGACAGATATTTTTTACAAAGAAACAAAATACGTTGATTCTCAATGTTCCTAACATTTTAAATCACAATCTATTAAGTAAATATTGGCTTCATTATTTTTTCCATTTTAATAAGGTTATAATGGACAGTAAGAGAGTTCTTAATGTTTTGACAAAAAAGTTTTAAAGATCAGAGAACAATTATAATTTCCCTCCATAATTACTAAGCTCACTTGGCAGGGTTTCAGCAGTCATGAGCATATTTATAGTCCTGCACTACCATACAAAGTGAGGACTGACTGTATATTAAGATAAATGCAGATAAGTGGTGTCTGCCCTATCATTACATTGGCCCAGGGCAGTGGTCGGCAAACTCATTAGTCAACAGAGCCAAATATCAACAGTACTTCTTCAAAATAGACTCTCCCAGGCCGAAAACCGACTTCTGTGCATGGGCCACAAAGTTTCAATCGCACTGTATGTGCGCCCGCACGTGGTATTTTGTGGAAGAGCCACACTCAAGGGGCCAAAGAGCCGCATGTGGCTCGCGAGCCACAGTTTGCCGACCACGGGCCCAGGGAATCCAGAAGAGTAAATCACACTGACTGTTTCTACCCACCCATCAGGTAAGAACACTGGTTGAGGAAGCTCTGGGACAATAAGAGGCTATAATAACCAAGAGGAGAAAGGTCCTGAGCTGGCAAGCCTTACCAGGGGACCTTCTACATGGAACAAGTAAAGGACTGATCTGCAACCACAGGCAACATGGTTCATGGAAATTTGCAAATGCTTCCTAGCATCTTCTAAGATACTTCTTAGAAATGCCTAACATTTGGTAGAATTGTCACGTCAAGTCCCATATTTAACTGACATCAGAAGAGATAGACATTTTCTGGGTGGGTTCAAGATCCTGAAGACAACATCACCTTCTCCCAACTCTCAGGAAGAGATTTGCAGAGGGGGTCAAAGGCCCAGAGCATAGATTGGTCCTGAACTTCCAACTGCCTCTCATTTCTCTAGTGAACCAATCATGCCTCAGCTTCCTTGTTTATAAATGTAAAATAATAGTAGTGTCTTAGTGCAGGCTGCTGCAACAAAAATATCACGGACTGGGTGGCCTACGCAACCAGTATTTATATCTCACAGTTCTGGAGGCTAAGAAGTCCAAGATCAGGTCCCCAGCAGATTTGGTGTCTGGTGAGAGCCTGCTTCCTGGTTCAAAGCCATTGTTTCACTACATCCTCATATGACAGAGAAGGGTGAGAGCACTCTCTGGGGACTCTTTTATAAGGACGCTAGTCTCCATCACGAGGGCTTTACCCACATGATGTAATCACTTCCCCAAGGCCCCACCTCCAAATACCTTGGAGGTTAGGATTTCAACATGTACATTTGACAGGAGGGTGAGGGAGACAAACATTCAGTTCTTGATAAGTACTATCTACTTAACACAGATGTGAGGTCTATAAGTGATCATGTGTATTAAGACCTTTGCACAGTCTCTGGCATATAATGACTGCTCTAGAAATGTTTGTGTTGTTGGAAAGCAATTAGTTAAGAGAAAAAATAAAGGGAAGATTCACATTCATACAGAAAGTTCCAGAGCATCATGTTTTTACCATTATCCAAATAAATTAATTCTCTCTTAAATTGAATGGTACAGAGAATTTGTGTTGCTGGTATAAAGACAGGAGCATTGCCCCGCAAGCTTGACTCAGTGGTTGAGCATCAACCTGTGAACCAGGAGGTCATGGTTCCATTCCTGGTCAGGGCACATGCCCGGGTTCTGGGCTCGATCCCCAGTGTGGGGTGTGTAGGAGGAGCTCTCTCCCTCTCCCTTCCTCTCTGAAATCAATAAAAAATACATATATTTTTAAAAAGACATGAGTATCAAACTAATTATTGGTAAGCAGACCTCTGTGATCCAGTGGCAGCTGCAGAGTATCAACCATCTTCTGGGCTCTCATTGTCTCCTCATCATAATTATCTGTCTCTTCTGAGTGAGATGCTATTGTGGTAATTATTTATAATAATAATAAGCTTCCTTTTATCTATCTTCACCTACAGGGATGACGGTACAAGTTGTTTCATTTTCTAGGGGTGGGGACATTCAGATCCTCTCCCAACCCTCCTCACCACTCCTTATTAGGCTTTTGTGAGAGAGCTGGCTAGAGTGAAGTGTTGGTCCATGGAAAGAGATGGACATAAGTTGAGAGCATGCCTCATCCATAAAGTTCTGAGTTCATCCCCACACTGAGCTCTTCCTTTCCCCATCTCTTTATCACCACTAGTCCTCATTGGGACTCAGTATTTACCACAACTTTGCTAGCCAACTGATGTCGACCCTGGTGGACACTGCATTCCATGAGGGTAAAGTACCAACCTTTCCTGCCTCATCTCTCATCCAGAGAGCTGTCAATGGCTGGAGGCAGTAAGTACTCGTTGATTGATGGAGAGGAGAGACCTCTCAGGGAAGTGGCATGGAAGCTCCTGGTTGGAATGAGACTGCAGGGGAGGGGGAGGGTTGCACACCCAGAGCCTGTGTCTGTCTCATTTTTATCCCCACAACTAGCAGTCAGGACAGTTTCCCACTTCCCACAGGGTCTGCATGGGAGTGTGTCTCGGGTGATTTAATGCTTCCATGAAAATGAAAGTTGGATATGAGGGAGCTCTTTCTGGAGACAGTGGGAGGGAAAGGCCCAATCCCTTCAAGGAACATATGGCAAATAAGACTGGCTGCATAATTTGCAAGGCCCAGTGCAAAATAAAAACATGAAATTCCTTGTTCAAAATTGTTGAGAATTTTTAGACCGTGACAGTAGAGCATTAAATCAAATGCGGGTCCATCTAAGCAGGGGGCCCATCTGAGGTTGTACTGCTCATGAAGTTGGTCCTGCAGCCAATCCAGGAGCTCTGCCCAGCTTGCATGGTGCATTAACTCCCCACCTACATCTAAACTCCTCAGTGGGCTTGGGATTTAGGGGCAAGAGAGGAAGTGGTATCCAGCTCCTTTCTCCCCGACTGAGAGCAGGGACAGGGGAAGAGGAATGCTGGCAAGACCAGTTGTGTTGTGCCCTCAGAAGAGGCCCCAGCGGCCCCACGGAAGGAAATGTTAAACACAGAGCCTCTGTGTTTATCTCACCACGTCGTCATGCAGCATGACTAAGGCCTGCCTGCAGCTCTAGCCCGGGTGCGCTCAGGAGGAATCACAGCCTCTCTATGACAATATTTACTCCCCTGTTGCCTTGGGGAGCTCTAAATACAGAGGGTGGCGGTGGTTTTCTCTGGATCTCCCACTCTTTGTGAGCAACTTCTTTTCCCCACTGAGCATGTTCTGGTTTGGGTCAAGGGCGGGGTGAGGGTCTCCTCTGGAAGAAAACCCACGGAGACCCAAGACCTTCAAACTCTTACTATGGCCACATATGGGGAGGGGAAGAGGACTCTCACACTTGGTTCAGCTTGCCCACCACCATGCAGCTCATGAGTGTTCTTTGTTTTGTTTCATTTTCTATGCGCACTTGGAGATGAGAACAGTGTCCACACCTTCTCTTTCATTCTGCCCCCTTTGGACTTGAGTCCCTACATGTGGGTGTTCAGTTTACAGACGGGAAGGAGGAAGGGCAGAAGGGCAGCCGGGGGGGTGGGGGTGGTTCATGTGTGCCAGGCATGTTAGGCATGAGTTAGGCTAGAGGTGTGTGAGCCGGGGCGTGAGGAGTTGCCCACCACCATGAGCTCATGAGTGTTCTTTTGTTTTGTTTCATTTTCTATGCGCACTTGGAGATGAGAACAGTGTCCACACCTTCTCTTTCATTCTGCCCCATTTGGACTTGAGTCCCTACATGTGGGTGTTCAGTTTACAGACGGGAAGGAGGAAGGGCAGAAGGGCAGACGGGGGGGTGGGGGTGGTTCATGTGTGCCAGGCATGTTAGGCATGAGTTAGGCTAGAGGTGTGTGAGCCGGGGCATGAGGAGGATCTGCTCTCCCTGACAGCCTCTCCTCCTCAGCTCCTCAAGGCAGCCCAAGACAACTGGAATTCGGGTGTTGACTTTTGGCAAATATTTTAAGAGCAGTGAACACTTAAGAGCTTTGTGCAATTCCCCGCAGAGGTGTCAAGGTTTCCTAAGGATTTAGCCTATTGTGAGTGTGTGCCGCCTAAGAAAACTCTGCTTTTGAGAGTGATGTCCCAGAAAAGCCAGGTAATACCAGGGAGGTGAGCCTCCTGTCTGCAGGAGCCTTGCAAGTCTTATATCCTTTCTTCACACGGGTACGTCTATTCTCTTTACATTGGTGGCAATGCATTTCCTCCGGCATAATTTCTGTATGACAAACATGTCAACCTAGAATGATTGCATAGGACTTATCTTTCATTAAGTAACATAGGCTGATATATGTAACTAACATAAAGGAAAAATAAAAGGAAAGTGATTTGTTATAAATGGAAATATTACTATTTTATTCTATATTTTATTCTATAGTCTATATTCTATATGATGTTATTATAATGCTCTATATTATATAATATATGTTAATGTTACATATTTTATGTACTGCATCCCCTGAAGGGAAGGGCTAATACTTGCAACTGGTGGCTTTATCAGATCATTAGCTATTCTGCATTTTTATAATGTGACACAATTATTTCATATCATAGGTCAACAAATTATTAATTTAGTATTTTTATAAATAACCTGCTACTCTACATTTCATTTGTAAGCAAGGATCAGCTGCAAACGACTTCTTGCTTTTATGAAGTTGGGCAGGTAATAGAACAATATGTAAGCAGCCAGTATCTCAAAGGTGACCATAATGATCACAGCCTTTTCCAATTATTTTAGCCAATTTGCAAAACTAAGTGCTAAACAGAACTTGCTACAGGGCCAAATTGATTGTCTACTGCAGTGGTTCTCAACCTTGGCTGCTATTAGAATCACCTGGGAATCTTTTTAAAATCCTGATTTCTGGGCCTCATCCTCCGGAAATTCTGTTTCTTCGTTACTAATGTTGTGGCCCCACCCCATAACAAAGAAACAGAATTTCTGGAGGATGAGGCCCAGAAATCAGGATTTTAAAAAGACTCCCAGGTGATTCTAATGTGCAGCCAAGGTTGAGAACCACTGGTCTACTGCTTTCTGTAGTGACTTTACTTACAAGGCCTGGAGGGATTGGGGAACTTTGTTCAGACTAGGTACTTGACATCTATGGTTCCCAACCTCTTCCCCACCACACAACTTCTAAGACTTGCTTTTTCCCACTGTTATCACTCACCTCACATCGGAAACATACATCCTTTACTCCCAGAGCAGGACAGGCTCCTGGTGGCTCTCCACGGGCAGCCCTCTGCTGTTTCTTGCTTCACTGTAGTTCAAAATGGGCTGCTCCTGTGTGACCCAATCCTGACGAATGGGACCTGAGGGGAAGCTGGCCGGAGGCTTCTGGGAAAGATCCGCCTCCTGAAGAGAAGAGCAGAGAGAATTGGCAAATCCTGCGCTGGGTGTGAGCGTGGCGAGTAAGAGATCCACGATGAAGCAGAGAAATGGGAGGAGCCTGGGTCCTACTGTCATGGCTGAGGCTCGGCACTGACCAAGCTGCTCTGCCCTGCCTTTCACCGTCTCACTGTATGAGCTAAAGTGCCATGTTGTTCAAGCCGCTTTTCATGTTGCATTTTGTGATGAGCTGCTGAGAATATCTCTCCCAACTGATAGCACTCACTAATGAACAATGCACGTAGTAATGGAGAACCCCGTACCAGGTATTAATGGGAAACTCAAAGGAAACAGAGAATGTGCTTATTTCCTTCACTGAAAATATAATCTAGTCGTTCTAGTCAACAGAAATAAAATATACCTACAAGTACGAATCTCTGCCCAGCCTCACACTCCTGTGCAAAGTCCTATAGGATAAGCTAAATAGAAATTGCAAAAATTTCTGCAAGATTTGCTTAGATGATCAGTTTTCAACAAGATGTTTTCACACTGTTAAGAGAGAACCAAAGAAAAATTAAATATGAAATATGGCTCCTTCCCCCTCCCCTCCCACCACCCTCCATGAATCTGCTTCGAAATTGACATTGCTATCTTTGAAAGCCCCATGCTCTGATGTTTTGGAAAACACCAGGACATAAAATATTTCTCAGAAATAGGAACTCACCCATAGAGCCTGCTGGACACACACACTGCTGCTTATGTCTGATTTGGAATATGCAAGCAATTTGCCTCTAAGAATTTATTGCCGTCAGGTTAATAATCTTCACCTGACATTTAGAGCGTAAATCATAGGCGCCTTCATGTTTTTTTAAGCTCTATCTGTGGCTGAGCAGTTAGGCGCACATGCCAATTTGATGGTCGAAAATAATAATTTTGTGCCGTTCAGTCTTCCTGGAGGCCACATCCATTAGGCATGCTCTGAAGATGGTAACAGAGTGTACTTGTAGGTTTGTGTTACACGGCAGTAATTATGGTGGCAGCTCTGACTCAAGTTTTCAAAGTTTCGTGAAATAAGCCTCATTTGAAAGATAAACTAGTTGGTTGGCCTTCACATGTCTTCCCAGAAATACTATGAAATAAGACCACAATCTACAGTCTGATGGGGGTCTGGCCGCTGGGGGCAGCTCTCCCCCAAAGGGCATCAGGATTAGAAAGGTGCCCTGTCCCTCTGAGGAGGAGGTAGGAGTAATGAGGAGGGCTTTGTGGGTGTTGGTACTTCTGCTGTGCAATGATAAAGGAACACAATGGTAGAATACAAGACCTGCATGAATTCTAGAACCTCCCACAGATGGGTCTGTGCTGCCTCAAGTCCAGGCTCCTCATCTCGGCTTTCTAGCCCCTCTGCCCCACCATTGGTCCTACTTCGCCCACACACTCATTAGTCTCCTCGCCATCCACCAAAATGAGCATGTTCATTCCTGTTTTCCCACCCTTGCTCATGACATGCCACTCCCCGCCCCCACTTACTTTCTTTTTTCTTTTCTCTTTTCTTTTCTTTTCTTTTCTTTTCTTCTCTTCTCTTTCTCCTTTTCTTTTCTAAATATATATATACAGTGGGGCCTTGATTTAAGAGTTTAATTCGTTCTGAGACTGAGCTCGTTAAGGAGCTCGTTAACTCAAATTACTCTATCAACTCAATGCAAAAAATCGGCCGAGAGACAGCTGATACCTCAAAAAACTCGTTAGTCCGGACACTCGTAAGTCAAGGCCCCACTGTATATTTTTTTATTTCAGAGAGGAAGGGAGAGGAAGAGAGAGATAGAAACATCAATGATGAGAGAGTATTATTTATCGGCTGCCTCCTGCACACTCCACACTGGGGATTGAGCTCACAACCTGGGCATGTGCCCTGACTGGGAATCAAACTGTGACTTCCTGGTTCATAGGCTGATGCTCAACCACTAAGCCACACTGGCTGGCCCCCCCACTTACTTTCTACATCTCTCCTCTGTGCCATTCTTCACTGCCTAGGTCAAGTCCCATCTCTTATAGGACTATCCTGGCCCTCAGTGAGCTTTGGCTTCTTAGACTCCTAGTAATTACCATGTAATGAGCATGGAGGATATGCCAGGTGATTCACACTCATTATGGGGAAGTGATGGGATGGGGTTTTCTATCCTCCATACACTGTTTCCATCCATCCCCGCCTTGGGACCTGGCACACACGGTGACAAGGGCATTTGGTAATGCAACAGAAATAAGTAGAGCTCTCTGCAAAACGATGCCTAGATCATCCTGTAGATGCTCTACCTCTAGGAGCTAAAGGCCTGAACCCACTTGGAATGGAAGGAAACAGAAATGAAAGAAAGGCTGAAAAGTGATGGGATGGGGTTTTTCTATCCTCCATACACTGTTTCCATCCATCCCCACCTTGGGACCTGGCACACACGGTGACAAGGGCATTCGGTAATGCAACACAAGGAAGTAGAGCTCTCTACAAAACGATGCCTAGATCGTCCTGTAGATGCTCTACCTCTTGGAATGGAAGGAAACAGAAATGAAAGAAAGGCTGATAACATTTATCAGAGGCCAAGGGAGACCATAGGACACAGGCATGAGGAGAAAAAGGCTTAAAGAGAATTCACAGTGATGACTCTTGTTCCCTCATGACAGAGGGAGGGGTAGGATGTGGGGCAACCCCAAAGCCATGACCAAAGGACCTGCTGCTCTTCAGTGGATCCTCCGCGGTCTATAGTGTAGCTGGGGCACAGGCTGAATGGCAGTGGAGAGTCACCTGATTCCCACCCTACGGCAGACTCTGGTGAAGGCTCTACTTGAGAAAGAAGGGCTGTGTGTTTCTTCGCTGGGTGTACTTTCAGTGATGCATTGCAGGACCAATTTCCAATTATCCATTTTTTCTAATTATCCATTTTTACTGCAAAAAGTATGAAGACAAAACAGACCCACCCATCATACCACTTCATAAAGACAACCACTGTAAATACGTTGCTGTGTTTCCTCACAGTCGTTTGCCTCCGTCAGTCTGTCTCTTTATGTTTATCTCTGGTGTTGCTATAATATTTGATGACCTAGCTCTCCACAGACATGCCACTCCCAGCTTGTAGGCACCCTGCTCCCTCACTGTGAATGCTGCTTCATCTAAACCTCCAGCCTTCATGTGACCTACAGAAATTGCTCAGACTGGAGGTAACTACGGGATGGGTCCTGGTCGCATAATATCCACACAGGGACAGGCCTGGAGAAGTCCTTCAGGCAACAACAGTAAGGCTCAGACATGTTTAAGAAGTCATTGCGCTCTTTAAGTTGTAACTGAAATCCTCCCTGTGGCTTCAGCCTGAAGCCCGGGGCTGCAGGGGAGACAGACGTGTGGCCTGTCCCAGTCTGAAGGCCTCAGCTGTCAACAAGCAACTCCCTCAGAGGCGATCTCAGGCTTCTCCAGGCCGGGGCCAAGAAACCGAATCACATGATGACGCTCGATAATTTTTTAAAAAACGAAGCACATCCAGAACAATAACATCTTAGAGACTACGCCTCCCCAGGCAGGAATTGCCCCTCCGCATTGACAGACAAAACTGTCCCATGAGAGACAGGGGGTTCCCTGAACCAATTTAATCTGGAAATGTTTCCTCAAGTTGTGTAGGCAGAGTTAGATTATGGATCCTGGGACTGTTCAAACTTGGACACATTTGACTAGACTTTTTAGGGGCAAGAAATATTCCCAGGATGCCACAGCGAACAGAATAAAGCGTTCGAAAGGCCTCTCTCCCCTGAAAGAATCTATCATCTGTCACTGAATGCTCATTCTTCTCTCCTCCGAGTGCCTTCCAACGTTTCGTGATTCTCAGCAAGAGATGCCTCGTCCTGTTACTCATCTTTTGAGGGAGGTGGTGGCTTGTCCTCGGTCCTCCATGGTGTGTTTGTGGCGGCCTTCCTTATTCCCCTCGGTGTCACCCTCACAGCCAGGCAAGGCTGCCTGGCACAGGGCTGCTCACTGGCTATTTTATTTGTTCCTGTGCTGAGCAGCAGAGGCCACTTTCTGAGCTCAGATCTTCCAAAGGGCTCCATTGATGGGCTTCTGGATGCCCCCACCCCCCGTGTACTTAACCCGGCCTCACAATTCTCCGGGAGGTCAGAGGAGCCCCACTGATAGAGGAGGTTGAAACTCGGACAGGTGAAGAGATTTGCCAGTGGCCCCTCAGTAGAAGGGGTAAAAGCAGGGCTGGGAGTGAGGTTTTCTGACCCCAAGTCCAACGTTCTTGCCCTGATCTGACAGCTGTTCTCATTTTGCCACAATTACCGGGCTGTGGGAAACCTGTAGCGATGCGCACAGGGAGGAGGCAGCAAGAGCGTTTCCGGGCCTCTGTCTGCATCGCTCCTCCCTGGGCCCGCTGCGCCAGGCCCAGATGCGGCTCCGTGCACCACTTGGCAGCCTCGGGCTCCTCGCTTTTCTATTAGATCTTTCATTCCTTTCTCCCTGCCCCCTCACCTCCCCACCCAATACAGAAACAACCCCAGGAGTAAAATGCAAGAGCTCGACCAGCATAAAGCAAAGGTTAGAAACTGAACGCCAGCCTTCCCGAAGCCAGGAAATTCCAGAGACGCGGTTCTCATGGCACGGGGACTTCAGGTTACATATTTTGCCGTCTGGCTAACCAGTTGTACGTTTCAGTGTGCGGCTTAAGACAGGGTCTGCCTGTGCCACGAGGGTGCCTCCGGGCTCTCAGACCCATATTAGATTGCAGGCAGGCTGTCCTGTGGATTAGCTGTGAGATTTGCAAATGTATAGTTTACAATGTGGTAAGAGCCCATGGCCCCGGGAGCCGGCAGTGAGAGTGGTCGCTGTGGCGGTGCTCCAGTTTGGGGGGATTTGCCCTTCAAACCTCAAGGCTGCATTAGCCTGGCGGGGGCCTGTGGAGTTCTCCCGCCGAAAGCAGCCGTCCAAAGATTTTCCTTAGTCCTGTGTTTCCCTGGGTAGAACCTTGAATGCTGCAGAAGTCCAGCTAAGCTGGATGCCCACGATTTTAGAATTGAAAGCCTGTCTCTATTAGAAGTGGTTTTTAAATTAATCACTTGTGAAATAAATATGGGGGGTCCTGTGGCACCCCCTCAACCTGGTCTGTAGGTGGGCAAAGCACCTGTCCCAAAGTCTTAGGCCGAGCACCTACTGCCCAACATGGACCCCAGAGCAGGGCCTAGAGTTCCCCAGTCCCTGGCAAGGCACAGGGCAGACCCTCACCCCAGTCTCGACAACAGCAGCAGGGAAACACCAAGCTTTTCCCCAAAACGTACCCTGGACTGGAAGCTGGAGAGTCCCACAACTCCCCTGTCCCTTTGCTGAGCTGTCTCAACGACCTTCCACAAGCTGTGTTTCAGCCACGGAAGCTGAGCCTGTCTCGAACAAGCCACCCATTGGCTTTGATGTGGGCAACTTTCTTGCTATTCCTGTCCCCACCCCAATTCTTCCCTCAAGCCCCTCCCCTGTTTCCCAATGACCTTCTTGTGCCTTGTAAGTGCCCAGCCCACTCCAGGCCTGTCTGCCTTAGACTGCATTCTGCTTTGGCGTTCTCTCCTTCCCCTCCTCCATTTCTCTTCCCCAGACCTCCTGCCAAATTTCCAGCTAGCTGTCACTCACAAGATCTGATAAAATTGGGTAATAATGACCTATGCTACTGTGCTCTATATCCGAAAAACATGAACAAATTCACCCTCCTAATACCGACCTCTCAAACAGGTTAAGTGGCCTGTGCAACTAAGAAGTGGCAGCATTTGGATCCCAGTCTTCTGATCCCACATACCTGGTACTCTTTACAGATGCTGCATTCTCATCACTGCCCTGCTGGGGAGCGGCAGATCCTCAAGACAACCTGCTACTTATCCCAGTGGGGTTTGTACTTCAGGGCCTGGGGTGCTCATACCAGAACAGTAAGCCAGCATCAGAGAGGAGCTGGCGGGAGAGCCTGAGCGGGCTTGTCTGACTCCCTTCCACGCAGACCTCAGAGCAGATGGCTCCCACAATTGCTCCAGAGAGAAATGAGTCTTGTTCATACGGAAATCTTTCGAAGGCTCTTTTCTGCCAAATTCTAGAAGGTAGAGCCAGGGAGGGGAGATGTTGCTGGAGATACCATTCTGAGTGATAAGCTGACACTGTGGAGCCCACAGACTCCCTTTTTCCCTCTCAGCCTTTCCCTTTCTGGGGGTTAAGTCTTTGCTTTCAGGCAGAGAGGCTCTGGTTGTGGTTCCAGAGTTTATCCTGCCAGTTATGAGTCTCAGGCCTAACTGAAGCCTCTGACACCCCTCCCGCAGACCCCTGCAAACACTCAATTCCCCATTCCTTATTTGTTGCATGAGTGAATAAATGAATGAATGAAAGCTGCTCTACGATTCTGCTCATGAAGCCAAGTCACCAGACAACTCATTTTCTGGCTGGGACCTGGGGGGGGGGCTTAAGAGGTAATCTTTTGCTAGAGAAATGCTTGATTTTAAGAAATGGATTAATAATATAAACCTTAAGGTACTGTAGCTCCAGTTGGATAAGATAACTCACCAGAAGTCATTTTAGTTTACAGATGAATGCATTCAGATGAAAATGGATGCCACCAGCCTTTTACATAATTGGACAAGATGGCTGCCTACTTGGAGTAACTGGAGAGGGGCTGGAATAGCTCTTCCACCCCAATATCTCTCATACCAGTCTGTCTCAGTGCCTGGGATTCCACCATCAGAGATGCATTACTTTGTAGTTTTAAGAGCCTTTTAGACAAGCACTGTCGACAACTCAATATGTGGTGGTATGACACTAAATATTCAGATATATTCATCACTATGATTGGAATTGCAGCAGCATCCTAATCGAATTAAAGAACGTACACACAAGATGAGATTCACATTCTTCTTATTTTCTAAAACTGAAGGCACTTTGCTGACTCTGACTCTGCCTCCCCTTTCTTCCCATCCCCTTCTGTTGTCTTCTGTATTTTAGGATCTGAGTTCAGTAGCACCTCCTGCTCTCTGGGGTCTCCAGCAGGGCCAACTTTGCCCCTGGATTCCAGGCCCAAACCCTAGAAAAGGAGAGAAAAGTGGATGAAGAAGAAATGGTGTTGAAAGCAGAGGGAGTGGGAGACGAAGGAGCCAAGTAAACAACAGGAGAGACAGAAGAACAGAGGTGCTCATGGGAGAACAGGAAAGAGAACTATGTGTTCATCTCCTACAAGAAGCAATGATTCATCCTCCTGGGCTAGGGTTCTAATCCTTTTTCCCTGGACTCACCTTAATCCAGTTAGTCCCAGGGCCCAGAATCCCACCTTTAGGGATGAGCTGCTTCATCACTTGACAGCCTTCTAGCCAACCTCACTGTTCAGCCTGGAGCTACTTTCATGTGGCTGCTCATCTGCAGATATCTGCTCCTCGAATTGAAGGTGAGGCTGGGCTGTGTAGACATGTAGATATTTCTCTCTCCCCCTCCTACCTCTCTTCCACTCTCTCTCTAAAGATCAATGGAGGATCCTTGGGTGAGGATTTTTAAAAAAGAAAAAAGCCCAGCCGGCTGGCGCCAAAGTGGGGCCATCACCTGTATTCTGTTACCAGCCAGCGAGGTTGTGCAAATGCCGAGTCTCCATGCCCAGTTTTCAGTTATTCCAAGACCATCGTGACTTTACCAAAACAAAAATACCAGACAGATGGGAGGGGAGTTGGGGGGATGGGTAAAAAAAGGGGAAGGGATTAAGAAGTACAAACTGGTTGCTACAGAATAGTCATGGGGATGTAAGTACAGCAAAGGAAATATAGTCAATAATATTCTAATAACTATGTATGTGGTAGATGGGTACGAGATTTATCAGGATGATCACTTAGTACAGATATATAATGTCTAATTACTGGGATGTACACCCGAAACTAATATAACATTGTATGTCAACTGTAATTAAAAAATAAAAAATTAATAAAAAATAAATCACTTATTTCCATGTCTTTAAACATAAATAAACAAATAAAAGATAGTTGATGAACAAAAAAAGTTTAAAATTAGAGTAATAACAAAGAAAAAGGAGAATCGCATTTATGTATAGAGTGTGATCCCTTTTTAACAGGTTTTAGTGTAAGTAAACTGATGAGATTTGTATTATCAAGTCACTGTTGATATTTTGAAAGTGTTTATAGCAATTAGGAGAATCTGATATACTAGATCTGTGAAGACTTCAATTACTTAAGTGTGCAAAAATGTTCACTTATTAGGGGAATTTAATTAGTTAAGTTGATGTTTTTGAGTTATTATTCAGTAGTGTGTGAATATTCTCAAAATATCAATTGCTTGAAAATTAGAAAATTGGACACTAAACTAAGTAGGACTCATTGTAAACACTTTTTTTCCATCAGCCAAAGCCTCTCAGACATTAAACAAGCCTTGACTTCTTCCAAGGGAGTGCCCACGTCCAAGGCTGGTCACCCCAGCACCTCCCTCAATCACACATCTTTCAGCGCTATTTCTTTCCTGTGTGTTCATTTTCCATCAGGGGGGCAGGGATATGGCATCCTGTTTCTTTTTTCTTTCACTTCTCAGAGCAACCCCAAATCATCTTTCTATTTTAAATTAATTAAATTTATCAGAATCGAGTGGGACTTTTAATCCAATGACAGCAACATGCCTGGTTCTGTGAAGAACTGAATTAGGCACAGTTCCTGTCGAGAAACATCCCCAAGGACACAAAAGTGAAGGACCAGAGAAGGAACAGTGTGGACACTCACCAGGAACGAACTGTGCTTTTCGATGGTACTTGCAGGCAGGCAGGCAGGGTTAAGCAGGTATCTTACAATAATTATGAAGGAGAAGGTTATGACAGGCTCCAGAACTGTCTTACTGGGTCATTAGGAGGAAGAAGACATGACACATTAGGGAGACTAGGAGTCATGGCTCCAACCTCTCCTTCCTCACACCTTGTAGCCCCCGCCCCTTCTCTCAAGAACAGAGAACTATTATGCAGAAGGAAAGACAGAGAAGGGAGACAGAGCAAATGTCAAGGGTATAGTGATTTGTGGAGCAAAGCAAAGAGAGAAACTTGGGAAAAGTTTGATTTCGAAAGAAAAGCTCTCAGGAGGGCCAATGCTCATAACAGTGCAGGAGATGCACAGTGTCTTTTTTTTTTAAGAATTTTCTTTTTTAACAAATATATTTTTATTGATTTTAGAGAGGAAGGGAGAGGGAGAGAGAGATAGAAACATCAATGATGAGAGAGAGTCATTGATCGGCTGCCTCCTGCACGTCCCCTACTAGGGATCGAGCCCGCAACCCAGGCATGTGCCCTTGACCGGAATTGAACCTGGGACCTTTCAGTCCACAGGCCGACGCTCTATCCACTGAGCCAATGGATAGGGCAATGCACAGTGTCTTAAAGGGCTAGATGCAGACCCAGAAGATGGAATAGGGAGCCCTGGATGAGGCGCTGCCTGAGCAGGGAGAAGGGAGATCACCGGAGAAAGAAGGAAGGGGCGGGTCCCTTGGCCATCAGGCAATTCAGAAGCAGAGATGAGTAAAAAAAATTGCTGACCTGGGAGACGGGGCTGAGGTAAGAAAAGCATTTGAGTCACCTGCATAAAGCCAGTTAAAACTATGCAACAAGGTCAGGTTTCCCAGAATATTGACATTTGGGACAACATTGGTCTTGGTGCCCAAGAAGGATTTCTACACCCCTTACAAGACCTTTAAAAGTTCACCCTTTTGTGGTGGAAAAGAAAGCTGTTCCTTTATTTGTACAGTGTGTAATTTTGCACTTAGGGGAAAACATGGTGATGTGAATCACCCAAAATTCCCATCCTTATTGAATTGGGTCGCTTGGGCGAGGGAGTAGACCTTTAAGCAGTGAGTGAGCATTTATTTTAAAAAGCAGGTTACTGATGTATTTCAAGACAACTCCTTTTTATCCAAACTGAATCAGTAGATATCAAACACAACATGGCTGCTGACGTGGGCGGATGGGAATGCCAGGAATCTGAACACCAGTCATAGCTGACTGTGTTGAGCATGCTGCTGCACCGGGCATCGCTTTAATCACATTGCAGACATTGTCTCATTTACCAACCTGCCCTGTGAGGTGGCACTATCATTCACAGGTGAGGAACCTAAGGCACAGAGAGGTTCAGGAATTTGCAGTCCCAGAGCGCTGGGCTTATCATAATGTAAGTTTGTCTGACCCCAGCACCGCTGATGATGGGATGATGGGGAAGCAACAACACTGAGATGGGAGATGGGACCACAAACAGACGCGTCGGCCATTTCAAAGTGCTTTTCACATGAGCAAAGGATGGATGATCTGCACATTAGTGACTCACCACGTACTGACGACCTGAGACTTCTTGCTTTTGTCTGTTATTAACATTTTCATGTATATTTGCCTTGTCTGCTCTGGCAGTTCCTGAAGAATTGGACTGTCTTGTGGGTCTCTTGCCTCCCACTTGATACCTATTACACACAGAAGCCCGTCTATGGAAAGGTAACGAACTGATTAACTAGTGTTTGCAACTTCTTGCTCCACCCTCCTTGTCAATGAAGGCGAGTCCGACTTGTAAATTTTTGAAATGTAGCCAACAATTTTGTAAACACTTGGGGAATTTTCTAAATGTTCGGCCAGTAGAATGAATTTAGTGATGCCCCGAATTTTAATGAGACTTCTTTCATGCTATCTTCAGGTTGATGTTTAATTTACAAGTTTACACCAGACTTTCATCAATTTTCTTTTGCATTTAAATTGTCGTGCTATGGAGGAGGATAAAACCCATATTCCGCCTATCAAAATGCCACCTGGGGCTAGCAGACTATCCTAGAAGTTATTTTTTGTTTTAAAGGAAAAGAGGCTCTAGAGTTGTCCCTTAGATTTTCTGTGAAAAAACATGTTGATGATGCAATGCTGAAAATATGATTGGAAAAAAAAAAAGAGAGGGAGAAAAGAAAGGAAGAGAAAAGAAAACACAGAGACACAGAGGCTAGTGCTAATCCTCCACGGATGTGCACCTGGGAGCACAGAACTGACCCCATCAGGGTCTACAATGGTCAAAATACTGTCAACATGTTGCTGAGTTTCTGATCTGATTCCATTACTCATTCCCAGAACCAAAATAAAGAAGCACAAAGGGTCCCACCTGCAGCAATAACTAGAACAACCTCTTCCAGTTGACGAAGGGAAATTCTCTCTCAATGTGCTGCCAGCTTGGAAAGTGTGGCACTGCAAATACCCCGAGCTCATTAAAGGAGAACTGAGTCTGGGCAATGATTGTATAGTCTCGGAGGGGAAAAAAGGTTTCCTGAGGGAGGCTCTGGCAGCGGCGGTGAATCAGCTATTGTCACAGCGGACTTCAGGGAAGTCCAGCCTACGGAAGGCCCCTGTTTTGTGCAAACTGATCAAATACAGATGTTTCCAAGGAGTTGACCTTACTCACCGTGACTTCACTGGAGATTGAACGGTGGACAGCCGGTCAGCAGCGGGGTGAAGGCATGTTTTGGCGAGAGGGTGTAAATGTATATACAGTTGACAGGATGTGAGTGACACTGGACAAACATCTCTTCTATTGATAAATACGTGCTTGACTTCCAAAAAGTTTTATACCAGGGTGACGTGGAGAGAAAGAATATAGTTTCGGGCTTTGCTAGTTGTCTCCTGTGTACGTCAAACTCTGAAAGAGATGAAGGGGAAAAATATTAAAAATGGGTTCAACCTTCCGTCTTCCTGAAATATCAGTTTTCATATAAAACTCATCAGCTGAGCCAAGTATTAGGCTTGATCAATGGCAGGAAACTAGGGGATCAAATGCTAATAAATCAGAAACAGATACCCCCTCTTGAACAGAAAATATATCACAAAACTGAAAACAAGGAAATCATCCGATGATTTTCTATTGCAATAGCAAGGAGAAAATTAGCTTTTTTGGGGGGTGGGGCGGGTGGCTGCACCTTAAATAGCAACAAAGAATAAGATTTTTAAACACCTTAATCAGAGTTGGACTTTAACATATGCAAAACCAAAAAAGATTCAGATATTTGGTGAAATCTGGAGTAGTCTTAAGTGTTTGTGGGTGTGCAGGTAATAAGATGGCAAAGTGGACACATAAAGACCGTGTTAACAATACTTTGCTATACATTTCAATGCATTGTTTTCTCTTTTGGAATTATATCCCCAGCCCTCAGCCCTGTCTTTTAAAAATGTCTTGCCCCAAGATCCCATTCCCTTACTCCGTAGTGTTTTTTTCTCTTACTCACCTTCATTCTGTAAAGTAAATGTTTCATCGACATAAAGCATATATACAGAAAAATGCACAAATCATAAGTTCACAAATTCATTAGATCAATGAATTTTCATAGAGTGGACACACCTGCGGAGCTAGCACCCAGCCTGAGAAACAGAACATTATCGGCGTCCCCAGGAGCCCCTCTTATTCTGTTCCAGTTGCAGACTTTTCCTCTGAGGGTAATCATATTGTGACCGGTAACACTAGGGATTCGTGCTGATTGTTTTTGAGCTTTACAGGAATGGAATCATAAAGTATGTATTCCTATGTCTGCTTCTTTTGTTCAACATTATTTAAATTGTGCAATTCATTCATGGTGAGTAGCTGTGTATGTCCTTATTAATATTTTAAACTGTATTGTTTTTAATAATACATACACACTCATTTCATTAATATAGTCTTACAGGTACAGAAATGTCCCTGTTTATTTCAACACATTGATCAGAATTGGTACCCAGAAGAAAGTACAAAAAAGTAACCCGCCCCCAGCAGAAATCACAAAGAATCCACTGAGCTGTGATAGAATTCTGAACTGACATGTCGGTAATGAAAGGCACATTATCACCAACACCTTTGAAAGCTTCATTTTTTTTCTATTTATTTTTCTTAAAAATACACATGCAATTTTTTTTAACCACCTTAGAAAAGAACCTAGACAGCGTGGTTCTACTCTCTGCCTGGAAACTGTTTGCGTCTGTGAAAACAGAGACCTAAATTAAATTAGAAAATCCTGGTATTCGGTAGGACCGAATTTCCTTTCCTTCCTACTTTCCCATTCCACAATCTATCACCTAGACTAATTAAGAACAGGGAGGTATCATCTTCACTGGATTAACCTTAACTAAATTGTGCTCATTCAACATGTGCCCTTTTGATTAGTCCGAGCAGGGCCTGCTGTCTCGGATACACCCACCTTGTAATTCTACACACTTAATTAATTTCAGATGAATAGCAGAGGGGATAAGCTAAATTCTCGATTAATAAACTATAAGTCCTTATGTGTGTCAGAGTAGCTGAAGATTTTCATTCTTCCTTTATCTATTTGCCCTGCAAAGGCAAATGGAGATTGAAACACACACACACACACACACACACACACACACACACACACTCGCTCACTCACATATACACACAGCTGCAATTGTGTGAGGATGGTGAAAGGATCCATGAGCAATTTCGTCATTGTGAAGGGCAGACCTTAAGAGAGAAAATGCACAAATTGTTAGTACAAGAGATTATTTTTCTACCAACCATAACTTTGAATGTCCTCCTTCACCTGGACCTCACTCTTTAGTTTTTATTTGCATATATTTCCTGTCCCATGTACAGATTTTTAGTCATGAAAATTCAATATTAATGTCACTTATATTGTATTTTTAAATGCACTTCTCAGAAGTAAATTCTATTAATAGCCCAAGAACTTTTCTAAGAAATGGTTTGAAATTATGTGTTTAATCCTCAAATTTAACAGTTCTCAAATATATAATAAAAGTTTGCCCTCAAGGGCCTCTCTGACAGCAAAGAAAATTATTTCCTTATAATAAAACCGATCCCAAAGATGTTTATATGCTATAATTTATCTCATTTTAATAGATGGCTAGAAAATTATACAAGATAGATTTACAGTCTCTCTTTCAACCCAGAAAATTTATATGTCTAGTTATTAGTGACTTAAAAACTACTACTGATCTGCATAATTGTATATAGAGTTTCTCCAGTAGCATTTATGATTCAACTTAATGGTCAATTATATGCAGGGAATTCAAATTACTGATACTTGGGGAATATAGCCAACATAGCTGTTAGTTTGCAAGGAATTCTAGTTACATAAGACAAAAATACATTAATATAGCCAATTTTATGTGTTTAATTAAGCAGAGGTGTTTTTTTTTAAAGGTCACTGTTATTTTATATAGAAAATAATTCAAGAAACCATATACTCAATTCACATGTCTTCAGATGTTAGGGCTGTTCTGATGTGTTTCCTAAATGTAGTCTTTGTTCCAAAAACGATTTTTAAAAAAAACCCTTGAGTAATTCTGTTAGTATTTTCTACTACTTTAGAAAATTAAACTGTGAAATTCTTGGACTCCATGTTTAACTGCACTACTGTTTCCCAGGCTATACATATTCCTACAAGTTAAAGCCCTGCTCAATAATTTACCATTAAATGAGTGAGAGAGCGTGGAAGATTTTACTGATCATTTTACTAATTGCTTATTTGTGGAAATCCTCCAAACGGTGGAGTCATTTGTTTAATTGAATGCAAAAATTATTAAATCATTTTTGATTGATGGCACGCATGCTGATGGGCACATCATTTTTCAGGGTGCCTCAGCGAAATGCCTTATCAGGTTTGTATTATCTCCTCCATCTGAGGCTGGGCACAGGGGCATTTTAACTCATGTCAGGAAATCTTATTCTCTCTGCCTTCCCTAAAACCAGAGCCTACATGTGACCTTTTAGAAAAACACAAAAGCGAGTAATTTAAGTCAGCCCACACCTGCACCGTCTTCCAAAATATCCTCATACGAACGCTAAACACATCTCATTCCTGAGGCCGTCCGTCGGCTGAAAAGGACAGTCTATTCCTTGGAAAGAGCAAAATACTGACGCTGCCGTTTATCTTCTTCGGGGCTGGAGGAAAGTTGAGATACTGTTCACGAAAGGGCACTGAGCGCGGCCCTGTGATTGAGGTTTACTCTACAAACTATTTCTGATCGATGGAATCGGGCATTTACAGAAGGGGACTTAAGTGTTCTTGAGCCTGGTTATGTTCGTTGTTTATGTTACACAATCAGAAATCTTGCGAATTCTCTTTTAGGTGATGCATCACCAAGAATTTTTGCATTAGGGAAGTAACCGTATTACCTGGGTTGTGTGCTGTTCGGAAAGTTGTTTAGCCAAATTTAGCACTTTAGAGAAAGAACACAAGAACTCATAAGGACGCCTCTGAAAAGCCCTGTAGAGTAGTCGCATCACGAGCTTAACTGCCCGTGTCTCCTACTCCCGTGGGCCTCTTTTAACCGGCTTTGCAGCAAGAGATTCAAGTTTCTGTTTCTGCCTACAATCGGCACTTCGATTAGGCCTGGTCCCCAAACAAGAGTTACGGGTTGGGAGAGTTTTCCAATATAATGTGAATCTGCTCATCACCCTTCTTTCTCAGGTGTCGCTCCCTCCCGCACACACCCCGCCGCCGCCTCTCCGGCTGCGTAAACGGGTCTCCGTGCCAGGGTCGCCCTGGGCCAGTTCGTGTTTCCGTGCGTCGGCGCTCGGATCGTCGTGTCCCCCATTTCGTGCCTGTCTCTGAAAAAAAATTATTTTATTTTTAAGTTCGTGGCTTTACTACACGCGGACGAAGAGGCAAACGAGAGCGGAGGGTGCAGGTGCCT